CAGGAAGATGGCCAAAGTGCGTAGAGATAGTTAAAACCAAATTTGTAATCCCAGGACTGAGGGACTTCAGGAAGTAAAGAACCATTTCACGATGTGAGACAGTCCATGAGGAAGGGAATGTAAAAAACGAACTATCTGCAGGTACATGAGACTTTTGAATTACTTGAATAGGAGTGTATATTTACTGTTGGAAGAGCATGAGAAACTGTCAATTTTCACCTTGATCAAAAGAACACATTTCTTAATGGGAAACAGAGCCTGTTGTGAAAAACTAGGAAGGTCCTCCCAGGGAACTCTGCATATGACTGTTATTTAAACCACATTTTGTAAAAAATGTTTTCTAAAGAGAATTGGTTTGTGTTTGCTCTAGCTTATGTGGCCTGGACACTTTTGAGTAGATTGTACCACCAGGAAGACTATAAAACCCTGACAGTAATTAGTAAATGAAACCAGAAATGCCTCCACTAAAGACAGTTGCGTAAAATAAAAGTGAAAACAGTGTGAGATCACAACTGGCCCATCATTAGATCCATAGGGGATCACCCTATGAAGTCAGCAGCAAGGTTGCCACTAATGTTGCCCAGCTGAGGACAATATCCAAAGAGCCAGTGGGAAGGGCCAGCAAGGAGAAACAAGAGAAAAATGTTACCCATTGTAAATAAAAGTAATACCAAAAGAAGCCTGCTGGTTTGGGTGGGGGCTTTTTCAGAAATGTTCTAGCCTAGACTCTTCAAGCCTTACTCATCTATGATAAGACATACCTGTAAGGATACAGGTAAGTAAAATGCATAGGTGGGTGAATGGGCACATCACTGCCTGGTCATCTGTGGTGGATCTGGAGCTTTCTCAATGGCCTGGGCTACAATAAAACATGCAGTTACACTCTGATTTCAGGAATAGATTCCACAAAGTCTTTCTTTACATTTAGATTTCTCCCTTACGTTCTGGCAAGCTAAGCAAAGACATAACTCTGTGACTAATGCTAATGTTGCAGTAGTAAAATATCGGGCAAAAAATAGGAAAACCAGACCCACTTGCCCATAAGAATGATTTAATTAAAGTTTCCACTGTTCCAAAGTAGGTATGTTTCACATCATAAAGAATTTTTCTGTCATGAAAATTATTTTTTTAAGGGGAGGGAGAATTTTGTTTGCAGCAAGCTGACTTTACTGGTAGGCAATTAAATATTTCTTTGGATTGCTCTTCAAAATTAATTACTCATTGATGTGGAAAAACCAGCTATAGTCTTCCTGTGGATTCAGAGGTTTCCAACTGGGTGCATCTAATTCCAAGAAGAAAAAGAAAAAAAAGACCTAGAAAGAGTATTATAATGACTGTCATACGAAAACCTGCTTCAGTCCAGATGTAGAAGTGGATACCACAGAAATGTTAACATCTAGCAGTTTGCTGCAGGGCAATGACAAATGAATCTTACATATGTTTGCAGAATGGACATATTACGTGATCCTTCTAGAATCCCTTGGGTTTGTTTTCCTTTTCCCGAAGTTTCTACAGAAATGCAAATCTACAATAATCTGAGGTTTTGGACAGTGTCACAGACACCTCTGTATAAAACTTGGATCCTAAACTTGCATACCTAACCAACGTTGTCAACTCTGTACCCTTGCAAATAATTCCACTGAAAGTAATGAAATTAGTGGTGTGAGTAAACAGAAGAACTGGTTCCTAATTTCAGGTTTTCCCCTTCAGTGTACGAACAAAGCTTGTTGCTCTGTGGTGACCTAGGGGCTTGCAGTGAAGACCGAGGACTGACAGAAGTGTCAGGTGTTAGGAATCACATCTTCAGAAGTTTCAGATCTATAGCAAGGGAGTCAATCCTCAGAAATCAGAAAATAATAATGATGACAAATGCTATGTGCAGAATTCCTACTGCAGTCAGTAGCAGCTTGCATGCAGAAAGATTTCAGAAGCGGGTATCATAGCTAACTTTCCTTTTTCTCCCCAGATTTTATGAATTTGACCAAAGTCTATGTGGCTTCAGCCTTAATAAAAAACAATAAAATTCTGGGATGATTTAGGCTGGAACAACCTCTGAGTGACTTGTCTAATCCAAATCATTCCATTTCAATCCAAATTGATTTCATTATCCCAAAGTCACTTATTTAAATAAATGGAGTCAGAAGAGATCACAGAGTTTAATCATTGGAAACATTGGTTGGCACTAAGTTTGGAATTGAAATTATTCACTTTGAAGTCCTTAAGTGCACAGTATGACAATACCAGTTGTCAAGGAACATTTTTTCCTTGGTTAAAAAGGACAAGCTGAGCATAAAATGGAAGAATGAAACCTTGAATTATCCACGAGATAATTCTTCCTGTCAACTGGAGAGTTACTCACTTTAATTGTCTTACCAAGTAATTTACTTTTCCATGCACATGCAGAGATAGGTGCAAGAACTTGGGACAAATTTCTGAAAATGTACAAATCTGAATGACACCAAATGAGGTTTGACTGATGATATGATTATGCATATTAAACAGTATTGGGCTCACTACGGATGCCCTAGGAAAGCCAGTTGTAACTGTTCACCTGTTAGGCTTTAGGCTGGGGTAGACACCTGTCATTTCCTTACAGAAGGCAATCAGGCTGGTCAGTCATCATTTGCCCCTGTCCCTGGTCACCTTCTTGTCCTTCACATGTATGGAAATAGCAAGGTTTGGTAATGGGTTTGCATCTACTTTGCTACAGCTGACCTGATGTTCTAAAACTGAGTCATATCCCCCCTCAGCTTTCTCCTCTCCAAACTGAAGACTCTAGCCTATCTTTAGACTCCCCTTGTAAGGCAACTTCTCCATCTCCTTGTTCAGTTTAGTTGCCTTTCTCTTGCTCTTTCAACTCACTACATCCCTCTGGAGATGAACAGTAGTCTGCAGCAATGCAGTGGGAGAGATCGTACAGCAATGCAGTGGGAGAGATCGTACTGGAGTGCCATACTATCATTCAAACAGCCAAAGTAAAGGTTTTGGTTCACTCACCGATAGTTCAAAAAGATGGAGGAAAAGGAAAATAAGGAATTTGGCTTGGCAATCTGGAAGTAGTTGCTGGCACAGCAAAGCAGAGAGAAAACAGTACTGTATATGTAGTATATCTACAATGACTGTGCATTACATTCAGTGAAATGGGCTGGAGTCCATCTTGCTTTGAGATTCAAGGAGTAATACAACACTGAATATGACTTTAGAAAAATATCTGCAAAGGAGATTATTCCACTATTCATCTTGCACATTACTATTTCCTAAGTCATTATATTATAAATATAAAAGAACAACCCTCCATCCATAGAGGAACCTGCTTTGTGGGTGCTGCTGGTATTTCTATTTGTAGATTATTTTATTTTGAAAAGAGCTTTGCTCTATCCAGACACCTTAAAGAAGTATCCAGATTTTCTCAAGCAGACAGTGGTTTTAAGAGCAGGTTTGGGACACTCCTGGGAGCAAAGATCCTGTTGTAAATCTAGTATATAACAAGTTGTACATCAGATTATTTGCTATAGATACGTGTGTTTTTCAGTTTTTCCTCTTGGCAGTTCTAAGTTTGCCACTTCCACTTTTGCCCCAAAACCCTGTGTGCTGGAAACCATTCCAGCAGATCATCTACTAAATTAAAAAAAAAAAAAAAAATCAGCTTAGTATAATTTCTTTAAACCTTGCATTGAGCAGAGATTCTTAGTACAAGTAGCAGAAACGAATGTTTATTTTACTGCACTCACCTCTACAGCAGCAGTCAAAAGTTGTAGAAGAAAAATACCATAGCCTAAATATCTCTCCAGACAAGTTTGTTACACAGAGCTGTTCGGGGCAACATCTGACATTTGGCTAGAAAAAGTACGTGTAGATACACAAGCCTCAAATCATCAAAACCATACCAACAATTTAATGTATCTTTTTTAATTATACAAAAGTCCCCCCCCCCCAAATTATTCAAACGTTAACAACTGATCCACTTAATACAAAACCAGTTCCTCTAGGCAAAACAGCAGAGGAATGTACCTTTCATTTTTAATTAAACATTATCATTGAAAATTATAATATGTATGGATTTGACTAATTATTATTCTAAATGGTGTTTTGTCCTAGTTTCCTAGGCAATCTCTCCACACCTTTGATATGCCACAGCGCACTTCCAATACACATGTATAAAGCTGTCCACACGAGTCCTTTAGAAACAAATAGTACTGTTTAGTTTCAGCTGTACTGAGTTACACAACACTGAAATTATGTATAAACCATCAAGGACATTCAAAATCCTGAAGCCTGTGTGACACAAAGTGATTCCAAATCAGTCTGTCCCCAACCTGAGCGGAAGGTGCCTTAAAGGCAGTTCATCCAGAAAACAATGTGGAGGCACTGGATTTCAGCCCGTATCAGACCTTTCTGCAAATTCCTCCCATGCCCTTCTTGACAAGCACCTACTGAGGGTCCCTTACCCTGCTGAATCCAGTGAATCGTGTTCTTAGGCAGACAAGTAAATCAGCAACCCAGAGTGTCTTCCCATCCTCTCTCACTCAGTCTTCAGGCTCCACATCACTTAACTCTTCCCTAATATTCCGAAACAGGCTTCCTTTACAGCAAATTGATATACAAACAATGCATTTTTGACTACTGTCATGAACATGAGAAGGCTACAGAATGTGCATGGCTCAGAGACCTCATTTCAAAGTCAGGGAGCCATCTAACCTGAGCAAAGGAAACAAATCCAGAGTCATAATCATTTGCTGCTTCCACCTGCTTAAGGGGGAAGGGATTTACCACGGCTCTGGAAAACCTCTTTTAGGAACGAGGGCTTTACAGTGCTAGGGAGGCAGAGCTGTGAGCCTGGTGGCTCTACCATCATCATAAAGCGAGGCAGGGGACTAATCCCCTTCCTCTAGCTGTTGTGACTGCTCAGTGACTAAGTGTCACTCTACCCTCATATTAACTAACACTCTCCTCAGAAGTGAAAATAGCACTGCCTGCTACTCAGCTCTTCTCCAGCCCATTTACTGTTTAGAATATACAGATTGGTCTCTGCTTGTTTCTTCTGGGGAAGAAGGTGGTTGGCCAGGTTCACGAACCACCCCTGAATCCTGACTGTCAGCTTCAGTAGCTAAAATAAAAATGAAGAATAGAAAAAGGTCAGAGTCAAAGACAAACAAACAAGCCAAAAACCCCAAACCCTGTATTTCAGTTTGCATTGCACCTAGTATCAATCACAATTCCAGAGGTAAATTCTCAATACAAAATGACTTTTGTCAATCCAGTTTGTTTTTCAACCCAGTTAATTCAAAGGTGCTTGACATCAAGAGCTGCAGCTTTCCGAAATGAGATACCACACTTCAGACAGCAGTTGATTGTTTCATCCATGCTCAAAGAAATGTAGCAAGAGTGCTTCAAGATGGCACGTGTTGAGGCTGCATTGGAATGGAAGTATGAGGCAGATTCTTTTGCCCACTTAACCGCAGTGAATCTATACCATGCCTTTTTAACACTCCTGTGAATTCTCAAAGGCCTTGACAGACTACATAATCCCTTCTTCAAATCCAGCTAGGGATTTTCATTTTATAAAGTATTTACTTGCCAATTTGCATGAAAACCTCCCTCATTTCCTCACAGGCGACTTGGGTTTTTGTTTGTTTTTCTGTGGCTTGCTCTTTTACAAAGCCAACAATCTGCAATCAGACTCTATCCTCAGATGCTGTACTGGCTGTTTTACTGGACACACCTTGGGTTTGTTTGGTCAAATCTCCATAACATTACTAGTCAATACTGCACGAAATTGTGTAACAACATGGCCTATACTTTACATCACCGATGTAAACCTAACGGGCATCAGTCATTCAACTGCAGTCAACTATTGACTCAAATCTTTCTGGCAGCAGCTTCTAGCCTTTGAAAATCTTTTTCAGACAGGACTTGTTTTTTTTTTTTTATTTGTCTTCATCTCAGATTCCCTTCAAGGCAGAGATCACAGACATTTCTTCTCACTAGTTGTCCCCTGCTAGAGTTTTCTATATCCATTTTCCTGCAACAGTTTTGCCAGAAAGCCCATTTCACCTCAATTCTGGAGGTCTCTCTGGAGGAAGGACGTTCCCAAGTCTAATTGCAGGTTTGAATCAGTTCCTTTCTTGGGAAAAAAAGACATGGTGCAATCCTAACACATCCCTATGCACTAAATGTTACAGCTTTTCTCTTTTTTCAAGCATCTTGAATGACAGAATCAAAGAATTATTAGTTTCACTGTAGCTTCCCTGCACATCTGCATCTTCTGCTGGCAGGCTATTTTCTATGTGACCTCATGCAGAAGTATCCCCCCTCGCTGGGTCACAATTGCAAATTCCTACATATCCTGGAGCACAAATGCTATGTAGTGGAATTAATTTGTACTTTCTCCATAGTACTAAGAAAACTGGATTGTTCTCTGAGCAGCGCAATGCATGATGCATTGTTTCCTATGGCGTTGTGCCTGGGTTGTGATTTCCCTAGTGTGTAATAAGGGCTGAGGTCATTAGATGGCATTTTGCTCTCTGGGGGGGTGCTCTCATGACCTCCCTTCTCTACCCAGTTTCCTGTTTTCATGATTGTTTGGCCAGTACAACTTCACTTTACCAACACAGGACTGGATTTCCACTCTTTTCCTGGCACAGTACCACTACTTCTCCCCATGTCCCCCATGTTTGTCTGCTACTCCCAGTTCCTTCCCGTTCCCACACACTCCAACAGATTAGCTGCAGCTCCCTACAGGTTCTCTGCCACTGCAGTATCCCCCAGATCTTTTGTCCCCTCCAAATCACAAAACCGATTAATCTTCACATACACTTTCTGGTTTGCCTGCCAGCCTTCAGTTTCCTCTCTTCCCCTCAAACTCAGCCCATACTCTTTCACTTCCAGCACACCAGTATCTCCTACACGCTGCATTAAAGTCCTAATGCCTTTGTCAGTATCTTAAAATAACTTTACATTTCTATGATGTCCTGTACACCCCCCACACTGCCATATCCTTCATATTCCCCTTGTCCACCACATCTCCTGCTTACTTTTCTTTGGCTTTCCAGCCAGACAAAAAGCAGGTATGCTCTGACTGCTCTGAAGATATGTTCCCGCTGCTGGGCTGACTGGCAGGCACTTGGTTGTTGGCCAAGGTACACACACATCAGTCAGGAACTGAGTGCAAGCTGACAGCCAGCCAAACACCACAACATGGCTGCAAATAAACCATTTTGTGGGAGGCATCTGTTTTCCTTGCAGATCAATATTGTGTAGGCCTGTGATCACAACAGGTATGTTTGGTGGAAAATAACTAATGGGTTGAAAAGTTATGAGAGGACTGACATTAACAGAAAATGAGACTGCACGAGCCTTATGTTATTGAGAAACGGGGCCAAAAATCTCCCAACTTATATTTTGTCCCACATAACCACCATCAACGTCTTTTCAATTCAAATGAGATAATTACACTCCTCTATTTCTCCTCCCTTTTACACAAGAGATTTGATTTTTCACTGGGTGATTATTATAATCTGTTTCATAAACAGATTAACAATTTTTTATTCTTGTGTTCAAGAAGAGAAATAAAGTTGTATTTATTTATCTGCATTTTCAAAAAGAATTTAAAATAAAACTGGCTGTTCACTCATCCAGTGCTAATGGTTAATTCTCTGAGCAGCTCTACCCTCTTGTGGTCACAGCTAGCTGCAGCCAAATGAAAAACTTGCAAATATAATCACAAATATGTCCACATGTGGGCACAATACATGAAAGGGACCCAAAAGAGAGGGGCACAGAGACTTATGCCAGAAATTTAAAATCCTGTGAGATTCAGTAAAACAACTTGCGATTTTGAAGATTCGATCTTCCATTTACAGCAATTAAAATGTAGGATTTTCAGATGAGCAAGAAATTTCATATTGTTCATGCTAAGTGTTAGTCTGCATTTTTTTTAACATTTTGTCTAAATTGCAACAGAGCCAAATAATTTTAAAATATGCCCCACAAACTAGCTAGTTAGAAAAATATTTTCATTTTGAGAACATCAGCAGATCATATTCTGGAATGGCTCTGAGTCCTAGGGCCTCCAACATCTGCATGAGATTGAGGTGCTTGTCAGCTGGAAAGGCCAAGCATGTCAGGCTGCTTTCCCTAAGTCAGCCCTGCCTAGAGCTGTAGAAGCTGGCAATCTGTCCTGGGACTTCAGGATATCATTCCTGGCTCCATCACAGTGACCTGTGAAACCCTGAAAACCAGCTAGAATCAGGGTCTCTTGAGGCTTCCACCTCTGTGTTAGGTATTGAAACCAGGTTAAAACTGAATCTCCCTGGGCTCATCTCATACTTCCTTACCATGTGCTTCCTTGGTTGTTTCAGCCAACATGTTCAGTGAAAGGGGAGGTGGAATGTAATGAATCCCTGGCAGAAAACTTGGTGGGATGAAGTGAGGCAGAGGAGTGTAGTATCCTTGGTGGAACTCTCCACTTCCATCTGGAATCTGTGGAAACACATGAAGCAAAGCATCCTCCATCTAAAGACTCTCTCCAGGACACATCTGTAGTATCAAACAGTTTCTGTTTCAATTTTTACCTGTGAAAATTACATTTTTTGTCCACTTTGTGGCCATATGCTGCCACATCTGTGCACATATTGGCACAGGCAAAGCCTGTGCATAGTGTAACATGCTGAAACTGAGAAGTAGCAGCTTCTCAGACCAGGCCTCATCTGAAACTGACCTTCTAAGTCCTTGTCTTCTGTCCTGGCATCTCATTAGAGCAGTTGGTTTAAACCATGAGCAGCTCACCTTCACCACTGACCTGGTGCACTTGCCACTGAACAAGCCTGGAAGTCTTCATGCAACAGAGAGGCAACCTAGGAAAATGCTCCTTGCCTGCTAGTCATGGATTCTCCCCTGAGGCCAGTGAAGTGAGTGGCTCTACCTACACTGAGGGGCTGGTGTGCACCCTGGTCTTCTGTGATCACCAGACCTGTTAGAGCATGATAAAACTCATTCCATGTGCAAGGAGAGATTTCCATCCCTCAGAAACACCAGCATCAGAGAAACAGGAGCATTTCTCTCTTGGATCTGGCCATGCACCCTGGTACAGAGAGAGCTCATATGAGATCTTTCCATCTGTTTCAGGACAGTTAAAAATTAAGTTCAAAATGGCAAACAGTGATGGTCTAGACAAGGCATTTCCCAGCCTTTGCATATCCAGCCCACCAGAACTCAGGCTGCTGCAAGCCACCCTCTTTCTCAATAACCCCTAAAATGTGACAGAGAATTTCTATGCAAGCATAATAAATCCAGTACTCTTGAGGCAGATCACTGTACCTCAACATGAACTGATGAATTGTATTCAATGCAGACAGAATGGCACATGGCAGCTGGAAATCTGATAATGTGCCCAACTGTGGTATAAAAACTGGACACCACCAGTTGAAACAAACATGACTGACAGCACTGAAAGGAACTGGGAGTGCCCACACACACCATTACAACTGACAGGCAATTTTGCATCTTGTTTCTTACCATGTCTGTGTGGTTTGAAGGTGTGGGCCCTATGATCCTAAACATAATTTTTCATCTGAAACTTCTGTTAACCACAACAATTTTCCACTGTTTTTGAAAAAACAAATGTCTCAAACCAGAAATATCCGGCCATGCTGACTCACTTCCTTGCAGAAGCTGATTTTCCCCCGTTCTTCTTTGCGGCTGTGGTGCCTTGGCCAAGCCCTGACACTCTCCCTCCCCATTAGATTTGTCCTGCATGGAAGAAGAAGAACCTCCCAATGCACATTCTGTGCCACCTACCCTGGCACAACATGACCATATTGAGTGTCCAACTGCCATCATTCCAAAAGGCTGCTGCAGATTTAGCAGGACATATAAGCCCCAAAACACTTCACAAAATCTGGCCCCTTGCAAGTGCATGGGTTTGCTCTTCTGGATTCAGGTCAGACTATACATTACCATTTGCTAATGTTTTCTTCAGCGTAGTATATCAAAATGCTGTGAAGTAACTGATAAGCAAGGCAACTTTTCATGGGTACTTTAACAGCAAGAAGGCAGCTAAAAGTGAAGACAGCAGTATTTCCCGGGAGAATTAAAAGACCGCTACTTACTGACACAGAAGCTGCATTCCCTGGCCCATAGTTGCTAGGAATGTGTCGGAAACCTCTCTGAAGTGATATCCCTGGAGGTGATGGTGCTCCCCTACAGCTTGACTGATTGATGGCAAATCCCATGGGAAATGGGTGGTAAGGATATACCCCAGAACACCCAGGGTACACTTTCGGAGGTTCTCTGTCCAGGTATTCTGGGTTGACCACGTATTCTGGAGGAAAAGCAGGGTGAGCTAGGAAACAATGAGAAAAGAACAAACAAAAGCATCCATGTGATTCTATGGAGTTCAGTAGAAATAGCTGCAGGACCGAATTCCACTCTCAGGCAGGGGAATCTGGCCCTTTGTTTTCATGCTTATCTCCTCATGAATTTATTTTGTGACTGTTTAAGGAACTAAGGAACGGTGCAGCAGATGATACTGTAAGGCAGAATGATCTCTGTTTTCTGCCTTGTGCATTGTGAAGCTCATCCTTAGTAAAGCACGGGCTGCAGAATATTATTCTTTCAGTATATCAGCAACAGCAAAACAACCTTTAAGACTTTTAACTCTAGCAGAACTTAAAACAAAAAACTACAGAAATAATAAGAGTTCTAACTTTAGTCCTATCTGTCACTTCTTAAGTTAATTTACAGACAAAGGCTCAGTTTTAGGGACATACACAGGCAATTTCAGACCAGGAATCAGTTACTTCCTTTGGTTTTTATCTTGCATCTGGAATCTTATATGGCCTCTCTGAAGTTTTAAAAAAAGAGAGTGGTTATTTGAATACGAATAGGGTCTGTCTTGTCTGCACATCCTCCCGTTGGCAGTGAAATGGAAGAATTTGCTTTGAGAGTAGGTCAACTTCTGGAGTACTAGAATTACACTATTTGCCCCTAACCTTTTTTTTTAAATTGGTCAGCAGGTTAAAAATGTTATTAAGGGAAGGACTGACAGGCACATGTACAGCTAGTGCCATCCATAAACATAATTTTCTTAGGAAACAGAGCTAAAAAAAACGGGAACAGTTATTGACAGATTAGGTGGGAACTAGAGATGTCTGAAATTACTCTTTGGTCTGGGCTTCTCAGAATAGCATTTTGTCTTGCAGGCTGCCAACTCTCCAGAGGCTGAGACTAATGACTACTTCAGTCAGTAGGGATCTCTGTAAAATTACTATAGTAAATAGTAATAGTATGAAGTTACTGTAATAAATAGTAATAAACTAGACAAGTCACATGAAAGACTCTATTAAAGGAAGCAATTTAAGAGGTGACAGACCATACAAGTGTTCCACCTGCAAAATCTATGCTCTGCTCTTAAATACCAAATGCACTTTTACACCACGTGATCCCAGCCAAGTTCAGTCTTTGCTACAGGAATTAAGGCCAAAAGGTCTCTTTCTTTTACAGTGCTATCATAAAATGCTTGCTTCAGGCAACTGCAGCAGTAACTTCCCCATTTACCTGCCATCGCTGAGTTTTTTAGCATTTTTGTTGCTGGAGGCTTGTGCCTGTGAATTTATAAACAGTGAGACAGCACTCAGAGAAACATGCACGAGCACCTGCAGTGCACAGTGGATCACACTTTGGTTTCCCTCTCAGACTAATTTCCCTCTCAGAGAAAAACCACTTGCTTAAGCTTCAACTTTGCAAAGAGCGGCGAGGCTGAGCACATTGTTTCTGCCGCTGCAGAGCCGCGTGACCTGCGTTGCAGACCCTGCAAAAGGGAAAATAAGTGCAGGCTTGCACATTCAACATGCAAGTTGAGTACCTGTGTCCAATGAGGAAGGAAAGAGGGAGAGACAGCAGGGGTGGCTCTCCAGGGAGCTGGAGCCTGAGGAATCAGCAGGTGCAAACTGCACAAGTGGCAGTGTTTGAAGGGAGGAAGAAGAGGATGAATGCGGAAAGAAAGATGGCAGGACAGGGGAAGAGGCTTTGGGGGCAGGCCCTTACCGTAATCCCAGAAGGGAGGGCCGCTGGGAGGCGGTGGTGGCCCCCTGTATGCCATGCCTTTGCCGTTGCTGCCGGTGGGCTGGGTGCCCTTCATTCCTTCATGGCTGCTCTGCTCTGGGGCCCCGGCTGCCCCGGCGGCCACCCCAAGGCCTTCGCCTGGGGGAGCAGGCGCTGTGTCTGCCCCAGCCGGGGGGTCAGGCACCTGCTGCCTCAGGGCCTTCTGGGCTGCCATGATCTTCTGGCGCTCGGTGATGAGGGCGCACTTGTCGCACAGGCAGAGCTTCCAGCGGCAGTGGCCGGCATGGCCCTTCACCGGCACCACGAAGCCGTGGTTACGGCAGCGGGAGCACTTGGGGGTCCGCAGTGCTGCCTTCGCTGCCACTGCTGCGGCCTCCTCGGGCTCCATGACACACCAGTCCTAGCTAACCACCCTGGCAGGGCTGGGCTGGCTCCTCAGGGCTCTTATATCGGGCATGGCCACTGCCACCCCAGCATGTAGCAACCTGGGCAGGCGGGGCAGGAGAGCCCATGGCAGCGGGTGGGGAATGCCCTGCTCTGGGGAGCCTGCGGCACAGGAGCCGCCTTGGCCCCGCAGGCCTCCCCTCCCTCAGCCAGGCATGGCTGTACCTGCCTGCCTCCCACTGCAGCCCTCTGGTTCGGGCTGGAGCCAGACCTTGGCCATGGGGGCTGGAGGAAGAGAGAGAGCGGGGACTGTGTCTGCAAGAGCAGGGGGAAACGTGCTGTACATTTTAGTACATTTCCCTGTGCTGGTGCATGCAGAGATGGAGAGTTTTGGATGGGCGGGGTGCACATGGGAGAGAAATGCAATATCCCTTACAGTACTCCCTTAAGCAATAGTTTTCCCTTTTGGCACTTTAACATCCACAGTCACTTTCACACCTCTCGTATTAGCTTTTAATATGCACAGGACTTCAGTTCTGTTTTGTTTCCAATTTGCAGCATGCTTCTCTTGATCAGGAGGAGTGACTGCCTCAGCAGAAAAATAAAAGTTTCATCATTCTGTTTTTCAAAACAAGGTACTAAGATGAAGGCGGAAAGCATATGTCATTTGAAAGACCTGTCTCCTTTTCTTGGAACTCCTTATTCTCTGGAAACAAAGACAGGCTTTCAATTAGAAATACAGGAATGCTCCAGTTCCAGCATTGCTTAGAAAGCAGTTGTTATTTGTTACTGCTGGTAGCTACAAAACCATGATTTACACAGTAGCCCATTTCCAGGAGAAAACTCTCCACTTTGCAATGTAAGGCATGACACTGCTGACTTTTCTCACATACGCAATAGCTAATTCTGTTTTAAAATCCTGAGATGCCAATAGCTTCTTCTACATTGAAGAGAATACCATAAAAATAAACCACCAAATAGTTGTGAAGTTTTTTACCAATTAGTTTCAAGAGAACCAGGTAACATCTATCTGCTGCTCTGAAACAATTCTAATATGCAAGAGAGTATGTTTCACAGCAGCCTTGCAGAAGCCCTTCCCTTCGAGCAAACCTTCCTGCAAGAATTGGGTGCACCCCTCAACATTGCGGGGGGCAGAGAGGCCCTGGCATAGCAGGCCTGTTAAGAGATTTGGCAACAGTCTGGTTTGCCTTAGCAGTGAGCAGCCAGCCCCGGTGCCCTGCAAGCCCCAAGGCTCAGCCTAGATTCAGGCTTCTCACTTTGCATAAGACCCAGCAGGGCTTTGCATCTGAGTCCTGCAGGTTTCTGGTAGGATTTAATCTCCTGGGGAGATGTTTTCCTCAGTGCAAAACTGGCATACAAGCCCAGACTTGCTCTCGAAAACAGTTCAGACCCAAATCCTCAAATGCACACAGTCCCTAGACCACCCAGCACAGCAGCAATCCCAGCCTGCAGATTTTGCTATCCCAGTTGCAGACTGAGTCTTCGGTAGCTGCTTTTTGTTAGGGGCTCTCAGCGATGCTTTTGCACCCATGCATTCAGGGATCCTGTGAAGGAGCAAGGACAAGTCTGCGCAGGCACACAGCAGGTCATGTAGGAGAGACCACCGCAGTGCTCTGTAGAAACTGGGTGCTGGATCGTATGCACAGCAGCTCCTTTTGTGAGCGGGAGGCAGCAAAGCACACATGCAAATGTCATCAGCTCCCTGTCCTCTGCTGCAGACCATTTTCCCCAGAAGACTTCTAAAACGCTGTCTAAAAAGCCAGCTTCATGTGCATGGGCATGTGTGCATTGTGGCTAAATATCTGTGAAAATTTGACCTGAAAATGTTACCATTTCTTCCTAGCTCAGAGAGGCACTTGGTTGATAGGCCTTCAATAGAAGCCACTCTTAAATGCAGTCTTGAAATGCTGGTCACTTGTGCCAGGGCCTTGATGTAACATAATCGTTCTGAACATTGACTCTGTATTAAATATAGACAGATAATATATTCCTAATTTTATGCTCCGTATTTTTGCTGTATGTTGAGGATGTGCATATTTAGCTGTAGAATGAAAGAGGATGGATGACACATTTTAAAAAACTATAATTATATCTTTCCATAGATACACAATCTGTGTTCATTTGGATACTTAAGCAGTGGAGGAGAAAGGTAGGCTATGTACATTTTCCCCAGTAATTTTCTATTCTGAGTCACATAATACTACTATTTGAGACATTTACTCAAACATACTTAAATTTATCTCTCCTCTTTCTCAAAAAAGGTATACCAGGCATGGACTGCAACAGTTTCTCTGTTAATAAACCATGTCTTTCAAAGTCATGTGGATTTTTCTTTTCAACAATTTTCACCTAAGCATTCAGGATTTATTATACTCTCCATATAGTTTGTTTCAAACATAACTAGACTTGCTTTTTATAGAGAAGTGAACATTTTATTTTGCTTGTGAAGTAAATATTTATTTCTGCAGACAGTTCAAAGAATTACCCTATTCCAATCCTGTTATGTGTTTATATATACATTTGATTTAGCTTATCACACACCATTAGCAAGCCCATCCCACAGAGAAGACAGAACAATTTCAAAATAAATTTTTGGAATGAGATGTAAGATTGTATGTGGATGCAGCTTCATGTCTATTATCATTTTCTCCTTTATTCATATTTGAAAGAAAATGAGGCACAATAAAGACTCTCTTCTCTAAAATTTACTCAGTTCACTCTAGCATTTTATGTAACATATGGTGGGACTGTAACATAAAGTGTGTACAGAGAGAGTTCAGTATTAAAATAGCATTTATAAGAATTATTATCTTGCCAAAATGAAAGGAAAGCAACCTGCTGATTTCATGTTATTGAAATCAATAGCAATAATGTCTACTTCTTTCCAACTTCTGAATCATATAAAGTGTGTGGTTTTGGTATGCAGTTTGCTTTGTATGTGAAACAGTGAAGAACAACAATGATTTAGCTAAAAGGGAACAAATCAAAAGACTGTCTGCCTTTAAACTGAATAGCAGAAAATTGGGTTTTGTTTTTTTCCTCCTTCTCAGACTTTTCAGCTAACATTTTACATAGTAAATGTTTTTTGGCAAGGAAATTGTTCTGCTTACATCTGACATTTCACAGAGCAATAGCAACATAATCAAGAAATTCGTTCAGTCTGAGATCTCCATCAACAAATATTTGCAAACTTGGTTCAAAATAAATGTTTTCTTATGCATAACAATCAAGAATATCTTTTGAATTTTTAAGACATTACATAGGAAGATAAAATCCTCTCTTCAAAAATTATCTTAGTGGTTTGGAAGTGTCCATTATGTACTGCCAAAAGTCATTATATAAAATTTGATACAGTGTTATTAGCTCTTCTGCATTATAATTGATTAGTCCCGTGTTTATGGCTATCAGTTACGGTATACTCAACATGAGGACATTTATTTGCACAGGCAGAACAGCCCCAGGAGGACTAGCCAGGCTTCAGATGCTTCCCACCACTCCACACCCAGCCCCCTTCTGTTATCCAGTCTGAACAAATACCTTGACTCCACCTCTGGATTGGTAACTGATCTCCTGGCATCACTCACTTTTGGGTTTACAGTGGCTTCCTGCACTGGCTGATAAGCTTGCAGATTAACTTCTGATCCCTTACTGATCCCTTACTCAAGTCAGGTCTGGCCCACAGGCTGGCAAGGAATCTTCTCTAAACTGCCAAGGAACATCAGTACTCCCTTCCCTGTCTTGTTGCTGGAAAGAAGCTGTTTTCACCTCCTTACATGTCCCTGGTGGATTAGTTCATTAAAATATAGCTTGGTTATCTCAACACTGTTCTGTAGTCATATATGTCTCTTCTGTCCATCTACATGGCTAGAAAAACAGGCTTCCTTCCCCTCCTGTCTAGATTAGGATACTGCAGTATTCTTTCCTCTGAACTCCACGTGTGCAATCTTTTCCCACTCTTACACACTCAGGAGCCTTCAGCAAGGATTGTTCTGGATTACACTGTGCATCCCTTTGCCTTCCTCCCACTTCTCTTTTGCATTAGTTACATCCTGCTTCTCTTGCCTTTCGCAAGGGAAGAAAATCCCTTTCACATTTCATCCCTGTCATACCTATCAGCTCATGTTCACTGTCAAGATGTGGACTCCCACCTTCACTTGGCCCAGAATATCATTTTACTAAGTAGCATTGATAACACACCTTCATGCTTTCTTCTGTAGTCATCCTCATATTTAGAAGCTCCTTATAAAAACCATCAAAGACTTTAAAACATCCTCTGACTGGCATGCATGACAAAATCTCCCTTTCACTGTTGAGCTAACATTACTGCATATCCATCAGTGCTATCTGTCACAGAATTGCAAGGTTCAGCTACCTGCTGACATGTTTATGAGGTTGTCTAATCCTGCCCAAAGCAAGCCTATGTGGCAGTGAATGAAGTTATTTGAGTCGCTTCTATAGACTATATTTTCCACCTTTCTAATCACTGTGAAATTGTACGTAGTAAACATTTTTTTTTAAATGTGAGGAAAAGTGCAGTATAGAAGCAGTTCAGTATGATTAGATCCTATCTACCTTAAGATCTGAAATGGCTAAAATGTGTTTGGATTACACCATTTTAAAAACTGGTTCCAGTTAAGTTGTTTAAATTCATATAAACAGATTCACCTTTTCAATTCTCTTTCAGTGTCAATTCCTTTACTTTAAAATGTTATCTTCAGTAATTAAAACAGGAATTCCACTGGGGTGGATTTTTGTTGTTGTTGTTACACAAGTTTTAGATGGATTTACACAATTAATGTTGATTTTCATCTACTGTATCAAAAAGGTGAAACTCTATGCTATGATCAGAGAAAACTGGATGGAGTTCATACATAACTTTAAATCTTAAAAATGTATAAAAGTTATATAAAGCACTTCTGGTTTCTTTAACAAACACAACTAAAATAAAGCTAGAGTACTTAAAATTGTGGATCTTTTTAATAT